TTTGCTATGAATAGTTCAGAGAGCATGCATGTGGATGGCTTTCAATTTTTCAGTCAAAAATAGAACCTTGTCTACAAACATTATTGCTAACTATCAGCTGAAAAGAAGATGTAACTTAAGAAAGGATTAGCCTGCCATTTCAAAATGGAAATCATTATCATCATTTTTGTACTTTGAAATATGAGCAAAATTCTTAGGATTGAACATATCTGTAAGAGTTTACATGTTAATGATCTCAGAACTCACATGATGCTTACATTCATATATAAAACTGAAATGAGGGGCTTGGCAATTGGAGGCCTGTGCATAAGCCTGTTTTGTATACAGTGGATTCATTTGAATTTATCTGGTGTTGTAGTAAATAAGAAGCTCTGCACAGTAGATAAGTTGCATTTATAACAAAGTGAACTGACTCTGTATAATATCATATCATCTGAAAAAATAAAGTGTGTCCTTCAACTGTTTGACCTTTTGTATTTAATGAAGTTCTCATCATCATTATTATTGCCGGTATTACTTTATTATGATTGCATGTCTATTTAAATCTCATGAGTGACCAAGACAGATTTTCTCCTCACAATACCAATACAATATCAAGCAGACAAGTGATGAGAAAAAAGAAAAACACTGATTTGGGGATTATTAATTGATCCAAAACCAAATTCTCCGATCTAACACCACACAAATTGTACTGCAAACAGTAAGGAGAATGAGTAATGAGATCTTGGGAGTGAAAGGGTTTAAGAGGCATAACATAGGCAACTTTCATTCCCAGGTAAGATAATTTATTTGAAAAACATAGTATAGCAAAACTAAAGCTACACTGCAAACCTCCCTCGCTAAATTAAATACCACTCCATCTTTTCAAAATGTACTTACTTTTGGCTTATCTTTATCTTCCTCCTCATTTTCCTCTTTGAGAACAACTCCAAGATCTGGTTCTGGTGGAATTTCATGATACACCTTTCTTTTGTTGGCTTCACTGAGAAAAGAAATGTTTTCACAATAAGTTTCATGAACAAACAGTTTCCACTTCCGAGGATAACTGGCTCATCTGCATTGAAAGCTGGGCTTGAAAACTACATTGTACATTGTACCCTTTTCTAGTGTAGTCCCTCAGCTTACCATTACACACCCTACATTTATTAAGGATTCCCATGTCCATGCAGGCTCTATGCAAAGCCAGGACAGGAAGTTCAGGAGGTTAAAAAGTTCATCCACAAAACTTGCAGATAAGAAAGGGAAAAGGGTTTATACGTGTATGTACACTGCTTTGTGCTAAAGAACAGCAATAATTTAATGTACAATAAAAACCAGCTAGACACAAGAGTTGGACTAATCCTCCATGGAAGTTTGATCACAGTCCCCAAATTTTTGCTCTCCTTACCACTGGCAAATTCCCCAAACAAACCACATTTCATGGTACTGACAACCATTACAGACCCTGCTGTAGTTATAGACAGGACAAAACAAAAAATATCTGAACAACAAAAGGTTCCAATCAAGTCTGCACTTCCTTTTAGACTTAAGAGCAACTTTCTCAACACAGAAAAAACTTCTTAGTCCCTGGTTATCCAAAGAAAACCAATCCTTATAACCCTTTAACTCCAGAAGTGATTAGTACGTAACTTAATTCTCCCTATAATATCCATACGATATCCAGCAAACAAGTAATGAGAATACTCAAACTTGTCAGATACAGGATGGTGTAGAAGCAATTAGATCTTGGGAGTTAAAGGGTTAAGTGTATAATGGATTTTTCACAATCTTCAGCCTTACTAAGATAGTGATATTCTTTCAAGGGAGTTCTACATTGCTCATAAACTTTTATTTTCCTCAGTGTTGGTGTCCCTTACCCTCAAATGTTGCCTCCCCAGTAACTACTCCTGCTGTTGCTTCAACTGTCTGCTTATTCTGTGGTCTTCCTTCAAAAACTAAAGAGAACACAAACAAAGATCAAATATTAAGTCAGACCTTCGGCTACCAAGATATGATTTGTAATTCTCCATTCTAACTGCTATACTTTTTCTGGTTAATTAGTTAGGAGAATTTTAATTTATGATTTTGAGATAAAACCTTTAAGCTGAAAATTTTGTATCCTTCCTATAGCAAAGCTTGATTTCCACCATTTTCTTGAGTCCAGTGATCTATCCTCCGGGGTAGAAACTTTGGGGGGAGGGGAGGGGGGGTGAACTCAAGCTCATTTCATGAACAGTGACTAGTAATAGAGCCTACCTATAACCTGCTGACTCAATATTGTATCAAATTTAAAAGGCCAAATAAAAAGTTAACCTCGTCTGAGAGAGGGTAACTGAACTAGGTATAAATTATTGAAAATAAATAAAAAACATATCACTGTTGTCATAAAGAAATTAACCCTTTAACTCCAAAGATTTCATTAGTTATTCTCCTTACTGTCTGCCATACAATTTGTGTGATGTTGGTTTGGAGAATTTGGAATTGGATCAACCAATGATCCCCTAGCTGATATTTCTCTTTATTCTCATTTAACTTGTCTGCTTGATATCATATTGATAGTGTAAGGAGAAATTCTGCCTAGGTCACTTAAGTGGGACTTAAGGGTTAAGATGCAAGAGAATATTGTAGAGAAACAGAGAATTCTGTGTAAAAGTTAAAATGGCATCCAATCTCCAAAGCCTAATGGACACCTTGAAATCTTACCATCAAAGCGAAGGTGTTGTTAAATCAAGGCAATTCTTGCTGTTAATCCTGAAAAAAAGAAAATAAGTAAAATCCATAAAATGCAATTGATTTTCTCCTTACAATATCATTAAATACATTTTCAAGTAGAAAGGGAAACAGAGGAGAGAAAAATATCAACTTGGTGATTTTCTTTGATTTAGCACTAAATTCTCTGGTCTAAAATTAAAAGTAATGTATGGCAAACAATTTGGAGAATTGATACTTTAATCTTGGGGGTTAAAAGGGTTAATAGGGTTAATCAAAGATTGAGAATTGAGGACTGTGGATTGAGTTTTTTGAGGGACCAGCAACTTAGGACAAATTCTGTTTCAATACCTTAAGGTTCCCATGAGCTCATTGCTTTTCATGCGTTCATGCGGTGTTATGGCTTCCAACTTGTTAAGGTCGTCTTCACGATAATCTTCCTGAGTTCTTTGAAAACAGGCAAAAATAGATTGTGCTGCAAAACAATGTCAAGTAACATAAAGTTGCATGGAAGATATTTTCAGGGAAGGAGGTTAAAGGAACAACCTCTCTCAATTAATGGTCTTAGGAAAAAACCAGGAACTGGATCAGCAACACACCTAATGAAAGTCAAGTCTTATCTGACTGGTAACCCTTTTACTCCTAAGATCTGATTATTAATTCTCCCCTCTCGCTGCTACACATTTACTTGTAAGTCCTAGATGGTCCTATTACCATTATTAATTTGCAAGAGTTCATTTGCCCCTAACATTAGTATATTTAAAGTCTTCATGTGAACCAGTTTTGTCAAGATTCATAACAGCCTGCAGTGCGTGCTTCTCCTCCTTCTCATTAGGTTTTTTGGATCCATTGATAAACAGTTCTTGGAATTTAAGACGATATTCACTTAAAACCTCTATTTAGTCTTTAAGAATAGCTGATTTTAGTCTGTCTTAGGTCGTAAATATTTTTCAGCCGGGCAGGGCATTGAAGTAAAGAAGGCCATCTTGAGCATTTCATACATGTGAGAAATGCAAAGACGACAAACCAGGGTTTTCTTTTTTTTTCTCAAAGAGGAGAAGGTGCAAAGGAGGAAGGGGCTATAGAACTCGTTCTTTCCTGTTCCATGGTGCTCTGCACTTCACTGTCATCAGTCACACCCATTGCGCGCTTGTTGTTACCACTTGGACAGCGGAGCCCAATCAAAAAGTAGGCATGCAGTGCGTACACAAACTTGTTAATATTCGTAGTTAATGACAGACTCCACGTGTCCCGAGTCAAAATAGTGGCGTATCTCAGTCTCTCGGGCTTTACGTTTGTCGCTAGTCGCTCTCTGTACTTAGTCCCCTGCGAAGTAACTCCAAAAATTGCCATGCACCAAGTACATACGTGGAAAACGTGATGTTCTGATGATTTTCCGCTGCGATTCGTCTGTGTCAGATGACAGGCTCTACGCGACCTAAAGGACAATGTTGACGACCACCAGTAGACACGTGATGAGAACAACAGAAGTAACAGTGTTTTAGGAGGCTTTTCCTAAATTCAGGGCTCAGGAATGCACAGATGACAGGGCTTAGAGAGGAGCTGGATATCTGCGCCATTGCGCACCAAATAGAAATTAAGAATGCATTTTTAAATGATCGATTGTCAAATACTCTATACACCTCCAGTAATTGCAATACTGAGATTGGTGCTCAGCAGAACAAAAAAATACGACAGCAGCGACTATCGACCGACTTAATTTCACTTGGCCAAGGCAACTGCTTTGTGAATTGTTCCATTGTACAACAAGGGAACGAAATACTCCACCACAAAGTAAAAGGTTTTCGTAAGCTAATCTTTCCAGTCTCCAGCTAGCGTGCAATAGCTATAATCTCTACAACTTTCAGTGCCATTGTTTTTTTTTTTTGGAGCAAATTACACCAGAGAGGCTCTTAACACTAAAAAAAAAAAAAAACGGGAGAGAATTTATGAAGGTGAAACACCAAATCGAGGCAACCAAAGGTTGGTATGTCTTCAGTTTTCTGGCTGAAGCTATGAAAAGACCGTAATGCGTTTCTGTGTCGCTCCCACGCAATAGCGATCAAACCGTTGAAAATGGCCGCCGCAGAGGTATAGCTGACGAGTACCGAAGCTTTGCATGAGGTGGATGATTGCAAGAAAAATGACTGGACTCAAAAGCAGCTACAAGAGATTATTTCTCATCAGATCTCCTTATTTGGTGTTATTCAACTGTTTGGAAGCATCAAAAAGAAAAAATTCCTAAGAATGCGGCCGTCGTTTAGAGAAAAACCAAGGGAAAATGAATGAAGTGATACATTCTTTGAAGCTTATAAATGATTTTAATTTACAAAATTTGTGTTTATACAGTATTTACAAGTACAGAATAATGCAGCTATACTCTTGTCCCATTGACATGGACGGAGGAGAATTTTTCAGTTGTGCGCTAGGACGGGGGAGGGGGAGGGGGAGGGGGCAGAATTGGGTCCTAGTCAAGGAGGTCAAAAGCACCCTTGGACTCCTACCCTCATCTACGCCCTCATGATGAGGCCGTGAAAGGTCCTGACGCTAATAACAGATTTCTTAGCGTGAAGTGTAAACAGTGCACTGGAGTCCTCTTGGTTGGGTACGAACCCACTTCAAATGTGTTGCTTTTGGTAGATGTGCGGCTGAGACAAAGAAAGAATACATGCATATTAAAAAAAAAAAAAAAAGGATCAAACAAAATATTTCAAGGGAACTGGGATGACGTAGTGGTGAGAACAGCCGCCTCCTACCGCGCTGGCCTGGGTTCGTTCCTCAGACTTGACGTCACATGTGGACCGTGCACACCCTCGGAGCTTTTTCCGGTTTTCATCCATTCACAAAATTAACATGCTAAATTCCACTTGGGCTTTTACCCAAACTCAGATTCTTTTGACAAAATTACATATTGACTGGTTTTATTTCATCGCGTTTCATTTCTTGCATCTTGACTCACACTTACGTATAAGTCGGCGCAGAACGATCTAACAGGCGCAACAGCTCGAGCTTACAGTAATCAAGACACGAAATGTAATCATACACTGAGGGATAAAGCTGTAACACTTACTTCGGGTCTGTTCCTTCATCGTCGTCATCATCAGGATTACAGATGGAGCGAGCGTTCCACAGCTTTACACAGTTATCTACTCCACCTGGAAGCAAAAAAATAAATATGCGCAACTGCTTTCCTGCTGTGAGGCAAAGATGAAAACAGCGACGTGCTTTTAACTATTAACACTAAATTCACGCATGTATTGCGGATCTACACTCTTACACTCTCTTTCACTCATAGCCTAAGGCAATGTGGGTAATGTACCTACAGCGCGCTACCCATAAAAAACATGAAAACTATAACTTGGATAAGCCAAAGAAGTCATTAAAGATGACGAGAGGCTTTACTAGTTTTATTGTTTTTTCTTTGACTTCTTTCGAAGCACAAGCAAAACAAACCTGAGGCCAGCAAATTCCCATCTCTACTAAACATCAAAGAGTACACTGTGTCTGAGTGTCCTTTTAGCTCTGTCAATAATGTCCCCTCTGCGAGATCCCATACTAGAATACGCTTATCAACGCCTAAACGAAAATTGGAACAAAGAACAAAAAGTTAGGCAAAACGCAAACTTCCTTGTATACGTTAGAAGGAATCCCTAGTGAAAAGTGCAAAGGAAACAGATAGTGAACACATAAAATAAAAGACTAAGCGAAATCTCATAAAGAGGAAACAACTCCTGAACGTGTCTTATGATACCATGCGAATGAAAAGATGGTCACAAGAACACAGCGGTCAAACGTCTGCGCATGTGCCAACGTGGTAATGACCAGGTGACGGGCTTTCAGGCCGGCAAGATCCAGTTGTCTCACGCGAATTACAAACAATCCAACAAGCTAGCAAGGTAAGGTGTTTTAAAAGCGTATAAGTTTTATAGTGAAGCTCGAAAAAGAATGGTAACTCAACAGGATACCCGTCTCGAATTCACCTTTTCCCTACTTTGTTGCATTCTGCAGATTTCTATAAACGATTCAATTGTCTTTCGCTTAATTTGTGAGACAGCGGTTGTTACTCGTATGCCCGGCGTTTGACTGCTGTGTTGGTCCCAAAGGGCAGGAAACAAAACACATCTCACCCGAAGAAGCAAGGTAACGGCCATCAGGTGAAAAAGCCAGTGAATATATCGCTCCCTGTAAGATGAGGCAAGAAATCATGGCAGTTACAAAGTTACCAAAATAAAATCACCCAAAATGAGAACAAAGGCAGTACTACCCAGTCTCTTACACATACCTTATGTCCCGTGAAAAACCGAACCGAGCTGCCTGTATTTATGTCCCAGAGCCTGACGGTCCGGTCACATGAGCCTGTGGCGATGTAGTTGCAGTTCGGATGAAAGACGACCCTCTAAAGAGAGGGAAAAAAACAAAAAATCACAAAACGCGTAGGAGGCCCAAGGATTAAATAATCCACATTAGAAAAGTCTGGGCCTTTTTCAAGAACGCACAACTTTTGCCTCCAAGATGAGGTAAGCCACAAAATATTAGTTTGATAAGAGAGAAAAACAACAAAATATGATGTGAAAAAAAATAAATAAATAAAAACAGAAAGAGACAGAAATGAAAATGACCAACTTGGAAAAATTCAGGTTAAGTTTCTTCAAGATGTGGAAAATATAAAGTACTTGCTTAAACATTTGCAATCACATTTTCCCCTTCCCTCCGAAAAAGCCCGTGAACCCTGAGCGATTAGAGGCTTTCCCCGTACTTCAGTAGTTCAAGCTGACGACCAGAGGACAGCTCTCTACACACAATTTTACTTCAGTCCTAAGCAACCGACGGCAAATGAATAAAACATCCTAAACGATGATGTACTAAATCATACGTATCCCTTGAAAGGTTTACGTGATAAATTAATCCATGCAGTTAAGCTACAGTTAAAGAAATTGCCTGAAGTAAAGCTCTCAAAAGTTCCGTTAGGTCTTGATTCTTTTTTTCCGGCCTTACATCATCAAGTTGCCTTAACTGCAGGCAGTTTATCCACGAGAATCAATTCGCCCCTGAGTTGCACATCTTATTTATACGACAATACAACAAAACTTTCTCATACATTGACGTCAGACACGTGACCGGCGAAGATCCTAAGTGGTTGTGGTTGGTCTGTGCTCCACAGTCGGGCCGTACGGTCATGTGATGCTGATGCAAAGTAGTGTCCGCGGGGGCTGGGAAGAGATTCCACACATTTGAGAGTGCAACCATTTGCTTACGTAACTAAGCTTCAAAATGTACTTAAGGAGTTAGAATTCACCCCAGCAACTGTGTTGTGTTTTTTGCCCCTATTGGCTTTCTCGCACAGAGGTTTTTCATCTATTTCTACACTTTGCCGATCATCTAAACACTTTGGAAATGGCTAAAATTCCTCAAAAAAGGATACCTCGCGAATTTGTAAATTTCTATTTTAGGAAATAAGAGAATTCATTTTATGGAAAAAAGAGTAAAGCATTAGTTAAGAAATCAATAGTCCCTACCAGAACTGCACGTCCCACACTGGGTAGTTATGTCCCTTGAACGAAACTAAGGAACTGAAAGTGTAGAGACTCCAAAGGCGAACTTGATGGAAACAAGCAGCACAATTAGTGTAAGTTACTTTTCAAATCAAAATGAGAACGATACTACTTAGGATTAGATTATTCTCACTATAAGATAAAAGGTAACCATAAAGATAGAAACATCTATTAAAAAAATAGAACATTGTTCTAACTTGAAGCCTTGTAGCGATTTAAAGTGGTGCCCGAGAATTATTTTTCTATAATGTCTTAATACTTGTTAGAAGCCCTCCAGGGCTGGTCGTTCGAAAAGCAGTTAGCACTAATCCTCGATTGATATTTAGTTTTGATTTTGTCCTTTGTCTAATAAAGACATTTTCTGGGACTCGAAGCAATCTAAAACAAAAGAAGTTCACCATAGTGCATTAGCCATTCACGGAGGGAAAAACTTAACGTACCTGTTCTGTCGGCAGAAGCGGAGACAAGAAAGGAGTTGTCGTTGTTAAAACTCGTCGAGAATACGGGCCCAGAATGACCAATCAACTTTCTCGACTCTACAGCAGTTCTAGAGTAATGAAAAAAGAAAACTCCCCTATGGCTTCAGTACATTTCCTAGAAAATTAGAATAAATAATCTATAACACCGTCGAGTTGATACGATTTTCATTCTCGACACCTCTTTTGAAAAATTATGAGTAGAAATTATGGGAAAAAATTGTTTGCTAAACATTTCGGAAGTTAAAGGGTTGAAATACACGCCTAACAACTTGTTTTTCACCAATGTCCCAGATAAAAAGAGTACCAAGATATTTCTCAGTTATATGATTCCAGACGGAAGTTTCAATGTTGTGCGTTCTAAAAGAAGTCATTTGCATGCTGCCTGGTACCCGAGCATCTCTCCATTACGAAAGCGGTGGACAGGGTGTTGATGCGTGCGCATGTGAAGACCTGTCAGCCTTCTCTTTAATCATCAAGCACCTCGCTCCAAGCTCTGCCGACAAAAATGGGACGACGCCTGGGACGAGGTAGATGTAAAAGTGCAATAAAATGAGGCGAACCGAAAGTAAATCACTTGATTTGTGCCAAAAGTTAGTATGAAATTGAGAGGAAAAGTAGAAAAAGGAAACCAACCTGTGGTCCATTATTCTTTCAAGTACGTCCTCTGTTGAACAGATGAATCTTTTCATCAGGATTTTATTTCGTGAAAATCTTTCGAACATACGCCATAACCGAACACGATATCATTCAAAACTACAAGGTCATACTCCGACTTTTAAACTAGAGTTTACTTCGAATCCTCATTTCGTTCTCCTGGCTTGAACTGATGATCTGATTGCCTATTCTGTTTACTCTTGCCCTTTTTTAACGACACTGAAAAAGTTCTTTGACGAATGCTTATAGGATATCTCAACAAAATTAAAGGTTCGCTCCCACATTTTCCCAATTCCAAATACTCATTTTAGCAGTTAATTACGCAAAAAACGTGAGATCTTTCCGTGTATAGTCCTAACCTGCTTCCTTATCAATTAGGGCGAGCTCCGAAGGCGACTTGAGCATGCGTAGCTTCTTGGGAGTGAGGCTCCATACACGTACACTGCTGTCTTCAAATCCACCGGACAACAGGCTCGAGTCGTTGGATATGCTGACCGAGTTTAAACTACAATATTTAAAGGAAAACAGGAAATAGAATCCAAGTCAGTTCAAGCAATTAAGTGTCAAATTCTTTTGCAAAAATGAAAGGGAAAGAAAAAACGTTTTAGGTGGGACTACAATGGAACTTGTCTTGTGACTTAAGGGACACTCTTACTATGAAGTCACTCTTTCTAGTTCCAACGGTGTTCCCTAAAAGCAGGTTCCACAACGCAACCCCAACATCTGTTACCTTCAAGGAAGGGGCACATCAGTCATGGGGCCCTATTTCTAGTCTCCAAGGTGTCCCCTGTAGGAAAGTTTCACTGTATTTAGATAAAACCGCTCGTGGATAAATCAGTTGGTGTATTTCTATATCAATCATTGTCTTACAAATTCTTTTAACGAATGACTTCTACTTGCAGTTATGAGCTGCTTATACCTTAAAGCGGATTTCAGGCAAATGAAAGAACAACAATAACAGAAAAATCAGAACAAACAAAAAAAAACAAAAACAAGAAATGATATCAAACACAACACAATATTTTTAAGCTGCTTACACCTTAAAGCGGATTATGGGCAAATAAAACAACAACAACAACAAAGGACAGACAAATCACAATAAACAAAGAAACAGAAAGAAAGAAAAAATATCAAACACAACACATTATTTACGGGCTGAAAAGCTTCTCGTTCCTGATAAACTCGTTCTCGTTCCTAATAAACATGAGTTTTCAATAAGGAATGTTACAAGGTCTTCTCAACGTTTTTTTAGATGGAACCCTCCTCAAGGCGGCAATCTCGGTGAGACAAAAAGCTTCCCTTGGAAGGTGTCAGAGATGCGAATGTTATACAGAGGAACCTCCATTCAGGGGAGCAGCCAAGGTACTATAAAAAGTGTCCCATGGATAAAGGTGTCACTTTGATGAAGGCAACAGATACAAAGGTTCTACAAAGGGACCTCCATTAAGAAGGCATCCGCGGGAGAATAAAAAGTGTCCTCTGAGCAAAGGTGTCTTTTCAGAAAAGGTAACAGACACTAACTTTATCGAGGAGTATCTTTCGCTATTTTATTCCCCACAAAAATTTGACTTCGTTTGATGGAGAAAAGAGAGATTCCTCTGTAATAAGAGAAAATTAAATTCTCTTTATCTACCGCTCTTACCTTGAGTGAGCATTAAGTACACTGTAGAAGCAGATGGAAGGAAGAGAATCAGGTCCTAAAGTGACTCTTTTGGCCGCTTCCCTCATCAGTGCTATCTTCACCACCTTATCACTGTCTTTCCTAATACATTTGAGAGTAAAAAACGCATTACAGCGTAGAATTAGATGGTGGCAAATAATTTTATTTAGAGTGCAAAGCGGAAAAGAGATAAAATAAAAGAGGAATGCTGAAAATTGGGACCTACGCAGCTTTACTTGGACAATCACACAACAACTGGGCCCTAAAGATTGCGTGACATTCACCCAAAAAACATCGGTCAAAATTTTTGGCCGATGCTTACAAAGAGCCGAGAAGTCTAGCTTGCAATGAAATATTTTCTCTTTCAGCATAGCGCCGTCTTTTGCAACAAACCAGAAAACCCAGTTATACAACAATTTAGTGTCTGGTAGTTTCCATATAACAAGACAAATTGAGAGAGGGAGGGGAGGGAGAGGGCTTTACGTACACGGAAGTGGCATCGAAATAAATTCATTATATGTCGTTTTTCCTTATGCTTTTCTTGTTGGCAAAACCGGTTAAGGCCAACGCCCAATATACCAAAGCAAACTAAGCAAAGGATGGCATACTATTTCTCTCTTGCAGTGAAGAGAGCGGAGTATCTGATGAACTGTGGGCTAAAAAGCGGAAATGACCTACATGTCAGGGAAGGGAATCTGGCGGTTCAAAGGCGGAGCGTTTGGATTGTGTTCCTGCTTCTTCTTGCCTGGAAATAAGAGAACAGTAGCTTTCTTACGGCGCTCAAACATCAATAAATGCTGACTCATAAAAAAAATCTTCTAATAAATATGGTAAAAGTTATGCCAGCCTGTCAAAACATTCTTAGCATAAGTACGCCACCTTTTTAAATGAGATACGCTCGTTTAAAAAAAAGGCCAGTCACCCACCCCTCGCTTCCCAGTCTCACAAAGGCCGGGATGGACAACAAGGTAGCTTTCGGTTTCCAGCGTCTAACACTTATTACCTCCAGAGAGCGAGAAGAGGAGGGGCCTGGGAATGAGGTTGCATAGACCCTTTTTTACCCTTGAATACTCCCATCACTCAATTAACAGGAAAGCTACGTCACTCACTTGAGATGTGAATGCCCTTTTAGTAATTTCAAAAGAGATAAACAGGAAAAAAAAGCAAGACATTTATCGTTCAGCTTTACCTGGGCCATTGGAATCTTTCTTCACTTTTTTTTTCTACAACGTAAAAAACAGTAAAAGATTAGATGCGTTCGGTGTTGTGACGCGAAGTTGCGAAATGCGACGGCTAAACACAACAACCCTTACAAACCCCGCGAGTTGAACTACCAGGGCAATTATTCAAGGCTCGCAGTGTCATTAAAAATGTAAGGGCGAGCAAGAGCACTATTTATGAAATTGATTTGTTTGCTCGAAGGACAAAAGGCAAAAATTGGGATTAAACGCAAACTCTTCTCGCCAACATGAAAGCAATATGACCTGTCCGCAAGAAGAGATTAGCGGTAGCCAAATACATGAGGATTACACAGGGCGTGAAATTGCGCCTAATACAGGCGCCAATGCGACTAAATTTTTCACTTTGGCGACCAAATCCTGAAAGTTAGTCGCCAAATTGGCGACTACAACGTTTCATCATACCCTTACCAAGAGATATAGTGAATTAAATAAATTTGCAAAGATAAATCCGCGGCAAACTTCCTCGTTAAGTTTGGTCATGCATCTCGATCGATAACTAGACGCCATCTTGGATTTAGATGAGCCTGAACGTTGTATATCTTACATCCTAGTGTCCACTTTGTAGCACGTTAAAGATCTTTTCCCTAACTTAATTTTGGAGGGTCTATCTAGTATGCTGACAGCGTAAAGAAAGATTTTGTTTGTCTTTGAAAATGGCGACCAACTTTTTTTGAATTGGCTACCACTTTGAAGAATTTAGGAGCCAAGTGGCTATCAGAAAAAAACGTTAATTTCATGCCCTGTTACATTCTTGGGAATCACGACAAATCATGCCAAGACATGCATTCGAGACAAGGATCCCTGATTGGCTGATGCAATGGAAAAGAAAATCATAACAATCATAAAATGCCTAACAAATTCCGGAAAAGCTTTCAAAAGAAACGATGTCAAAAGACTCCATTGTTTCGAGTCAAATTCCGACAATTTAAGCCACTGTTCTCGCTCTCTCCTCAGAAAAGACGGACGAACCATGGATATCAAAACGTTGCCTCACAATCTCCGTGAACAAGTTTCTTGTCCAGTGTGTACTAACATATACACAGATCCAAAACACCTCCCATGTCTTCACAGTTTCTGTCTGCAATGCTTGCACAGATCAAGCCATGCCCATGACACGATCAGATGCCCCAAATGTCAAGTCGTTAGCAGAGTGCCTGATAGTGGCGATCTGAAAGATCTTCCCACCAGTTTTTATTTGAACGGCTTGATTGATGTGCTGGCCATTAAAGAATGCAAAACCAGCCAAGTTGGATGTGGAAACTGTCAAAAGAAGAGCTCCGAGAGTTCTTACTGTTTCCAGTGTTACATGTTTTGGTGTGAAAAGTGCGTCATTGCACATGACATCATTCAAAGCAATAAAGATCACCGTGTTCTAGCGCTAAAAGACTTTCAAGAAAAGGATTACGAGGATGTGTTGAAACGACCCTTGTTCTGCTCTAAACAGCGGCATGAGAAAGAAGAAATTAAATACTTCTGCAAGAACTGCGAAACGGCAGCTTGCCAAAGCTGTGTTTGGATACATCATAAGGATCACGTCATATTGCACCTAGAGGAAGAGGCGGAAAGACAAAAGATGGAACTAAAATCACTGATCGAAATACAAAAGCACGATTTGCAAGCAAAGATTAACACTTTGGGTCGACTGGATGAAGACTGCGCTAAATTCAAACAACAAAGAGATGAAATCCAAAGTCAAGTGCAGAAGTTTGTGGACAATTTAATTGCAACTATTGAAGCAAAGAAACAAAATATCATCGCAACGGCGGACGATGAAATGAAGAGATTCCTCGAAACTCTAAGAACACAAAAGACGGAGATAGAGAGTGAAATAAAGATCATCAAATCATCGCTGGAAAAAGCTGAAACAATTCTAAAACGAAGCACACACGCCGAATTCGTTCAACTAAAGAAGTCACTCGAGGAAATCTTTCCAGGAACTAATCAAAGCCAGCCAAACGACGGTTACCCGGAAAAGCCCCCTGTTTTAGCTTTCGTGGAAAACCCAAAGATGCTAAGTACCATAAACGCCGAAGAAATTGGAATGTTGAAAATAGCCCACCAAACAAAAGCAAATCGGTCAGTTGCTGAAGTAAAAGGACTTCAAGAAGCAATTGCTAACCGTCAAGCACACTTTTCTTTGACCACAAGGGACTATAAAGGAAGACAGTGTTACAATGAAGGTGACCATGTAACGGTGGAGATCACTGACGAACAAGGAAGCGACTGCGCAACGGAATTGCAAATAATTGACAATAAGGATGGACTTTATAAAATCAGTTATTCTCCCAGAAATGAAGGAAGATGTGAAGTGACGATAAAGGTAAATGGGGAACATGTGCACACAAGTCAATTTATTGTCCTTCTAAAACCATTTCAGTTAAAACCTGTATCAGCTTTTGGGTTCGAGGGTTCGTCGGTTGGAAAGTTTTCTTATCCATGGGGGGTTGCAGTGAACGCTAACGACGAGATCGCTGTAACTGATCAATTCAACAACAGAGTTCAAATTTTCAGTAGTGAAGGAAAGTTTTTAAGATCATTTGGTAAGAAGGGTGACAATGCGGGAGAACTGAACAGTCCTCGAGGAATAACATTTCATAATAATGGTAATATTTTTGTAGCAGACTGTTACAATCATAGAATTCAGATTTTTAGCGGCGAGGGTGAGTTCGTGGGAAGTTTTGGTGGGGAAGGAAACCTTGAAAGTCAGCTAAAGAATCCCTCGGGTCTGTCTGTGGACAGTGAGGGAAATATCATTGTTGCAGACAGAGGTAACAAACTGATTAAGATATTTTCACCTGAAGGCAAGTTTCTAAAAAAGATAAGTGGGCAGGGGTCTTTTGACTTTCCTTTGCACTGTATTCAGTATTCTAGATATCTCATAGTGTCATACCATCGTGATCATTTTATCAGAGTTTTTGACAGGTATGGAAATTTTCAGCGCGAGTTTGGAAAGCATGGAACAGGAAACGGGGAGTTTAATCTTCCAAAATGTTTGTTAGTGAACAAGTCAGGACAACTTATGGTCTGTGACTCAGGCAATAATAGAATACAAGTCTTTGAACTAAATGGAAAGTTTGCTGGTAAGTTTGGAACACGAGGTGAAAATTTAGGGAAATTCATTTATCCAAGTGCAATAGCTGTTCTCAGTACAGGGAGATTTGTTGTTGCTGATTCTAGTAACCATCGTATTCAGATAATTGAGTAGTCCACGTTCGCTCTGGTGAACTGTTTGGCTTATTTTAAGCAGAGTTAAATTCAGCCACTTTCTAAATAAATTAATTGAGTTTTATATAAAATCAACAAAAATAGAAATAAAGTAATAAGAGAGAAATGAAAACAAATTCCACACATTTTCTTTAACTTTTGGCAGAATGGTAGGACTGAAACAAAGGTTAATCAAATCCAATATGTACACATTTGAAGCATTCTGATGTAAGCGTATTGCTACTGAGAATGTTATGTTCACAGAACTTTTTCAATACATTTGGTATTCATTATTTTAACAAACAAAAGGTTGTGGTTATTCATTATGATTTGGTTCATGTACAATGTACTGATGTTGAACAAAACGTTTTTCATTTTTAAGTGGAATGAAGATTTGACAATCTGTGAGCAAGATGTTTGTAATTTTTTTGTAGATAAAATAAAAAAAAAACATATAAGCTGTAGAAAGGTTCTTTCAAAGAACTCTAAACACTTTTTAGTGGTGTATTTTGTAAATGTCTTGAGATCTTAGAAATAACAATGGTACTAAGATTTCTGTATATAGTAAGTATTTTAGGTGAAGAGAATTTTTGAATACGAGATTAAGGTGATGACTGAATCAAGCTAACATGTTTCAGTCAAGGGCTGTATCAGCATGTGAAGAGCAGCCAAATCATTGGTGAATTTTGTACATGAATAATTCAGAGAACATGTGGATGGCTTTCAATTTTGCAGCCAAAAACAGAACCTTGTCTACAAATATTATCAGTAGCTATCAGCTGAAAAATAATGTAACTTAAGAAAGGATTAGCCTGCCATTTCAAAATGGAAATCATTATCATTATTTTGTAGTTTGAAATGTAAGCAGAATTCTTAGGATTGATAATATTTGTAAGAGTTTACATGTTAATGATCTCTGAACCCACATAATGCCTACATTCATATATAAAACGAAAATGAGGGGCTTGGCCATTGAAGGCCTGGGCATGACTGTTTCAAGTACAGTGGAATCATTTGAATTTATCTGGTTTTGTAGTGAATAAGAAGCTCTGCACATGTAGATAAGTTGCATTGATAAACAAAGTGAACTGACTCTGTATAATATCATATCATCTAAAAAATAGAGAGTGTCACTGAACTGTTTGACCTTTTGTATTTAATCATTACCATTGCTGGTATTCCTTTATCATTATTATCTATTTAAATCTCATAAATGACCAAGACAGATTTTCCCCTTACAAGACCAATACAATATCAAGCAGACAAGTGACAAGAAAAGAGAAAAACATCAATTTGGGGATTATTAATTGATCAAAAACCAAATTCTCCCAACTAACACCATAATAATTGTACGGCAAACTGTAAGGAGAATCACTAATGAGATTTTGGGAATGAAAGGGTTAAGAGGCAAAACACAGGCAACTTTCATTCCCAGGTAAGATAATTTGAAAAACATAGTATAGCAAAACTAAAGCTACACTGCAAACCTCCCTCACTAAATTAATTAAATACCACTCCATATTTTCAAAATGTACTTACTTTTGGCTTATCTTTATCTTCCTCCTCCTCATTTTCCTCTTCAATAACAACTCCAAGATCAGGTTCTGGTGGAATTCCATAATACACCTTGCTTTTGTTGGCTGCAGTGAGAAAAGAAACGCTTTTGTGATAAGATTTAGGAACAAACAGTTTCCACTTCCAAGGATAACTGGTTCTTCTCCATTGTAACCTGGGCTTGAAAACTACATTGTACCCTTCCACTTGCCTCTAGTGTAGTCCCTCAGCTCACCATTACACTGCCCTGCATAGGATTCCTTAGTTCAGGGTCTTGATGCAAGGACAGGAAAGTTCAGGGGGTGGAGAAGTTAATCCACAAAGCTTATAGATCAGGAAGGGAAAAGAGTTCATACGTGTGTATGTGCACTGCTTTGAGCTGAAGAACAGCAGTAGTTTAATGCTCAATAAAAAACAGCCAGACACAAGAGTTGGACTCCCTCCATGGAAGTTTGACCACAGACCCTGAATTTTTGCCCTCCTTCTCACTGGCAAATAACCAAAACAAACCACATTTCATGGCACTAACAACCATTGCAGACCCTACTGCAGTTAGACAGGAAAAAAGGGAAAATATCTGTTGTGAATGATAAAAGGTTCCAATCAAGTCTGCACATCTTTTTAGATTTTAAAACAACCTTCTTGACACAGAAAAAAACTTCTCAGTCCCTGGTTATCCAAAGAAAACCAATCCTTGACCCTTTAACTCCCAGAAGTGATTAACATGTAACTTTTCCTTATAATATCCATACATTATCCAGCAAACAGGATATATGAATACTCAAACTTATCAGGTAGAAACACTCATCTTGATTTAACAGCAAATTCTTGTAACTAGTTTACAAGGAATTGTCTATCAGTTAGAGGGGAGAATTAACAATCAGATCTTGGGAGCTAAAGGGTTAAGTGTATGCTGGATTTTTCACAATTTTCAGCCTTGCCAAGATAGTGATATTCTTTTAAGGGAGTTCCTCATTGCTCATAAACTTTTATCTTCTTGTTGGTGTCCCTTACCCTCAAATGTTGCCTCCCCAGTAACTGCTCCTGCTGTTGCTTCAATTGTCTGCTTATTCCGTGGTCTTCCTTCAAAAACTAAAGAGAACACAAACAAAGATCAAATGTTAAGTTAGACCTTCAGCAACCAAAATATGATTTGCAATTCCCCTTCTAGCTGGTATACTCTTTTCTGGTAAATTAGTTAGGAGAATTTTCATTTGTGATTTCAAGATAAAACCCTTGAGCTGAAAATTTTGCTTCTTCCCTACAGCTAGGCTTGATTCCCACCATTTTCTTGAACTTTGGGGGGGAGGGAAGGGGGGTTTAAATCAAGCTCATTTCATGAACAATGACTAGTAATAGAGCCCACTTATAACCTACTGACTCAATATTGTATCAATTTAAAAGACAAAAATAAGATTTAACCTCCTCCGAGAGAGGGCAACTGAACTAGATATAAATTACATAAAATAAATAAAAAACATCTCAGCACTGTCATAAAGAAATGAAGATGCAAGGGAATACTGGAATGAAACAGAGAATTCTGTGTAAAAGTTAAAATAAAATACCGTCTCCAAAGCCTAATGGACACCTTGAAATCTTACCATCAAAGTGAAGGTGCTGCTGAATCAAGGTAAGAAGCAATTCTTGCTGTTGATCCTGAGGAAAAAGATGAATAAAAACCCATAAAATGCAATTAATTTTCTCCTTACAATATCCCTCAATATATTTTCAAGCAGAAAGGGAAACAGAGGAGAGAAAAATATCAACTTGGTGATTTTCTTTGATTCAGCACCAAATTCTCTGATCTAAAATAAAAAGTAATGTATGGCAAACAATGTGGAGAATTGATACTTCAATCTAGGGGGGTGTAAGGGTTAATAGTGTGCTGGTTTATCATTAATACTTCAGAGTGAAGAAAGGTATGGAAACTTTGAAAAAAGAGTATTTACAGGGAACACAACACTTTCTCCATTGTAACAACCAAGGCTTAAACCTGAATTGCTTCATCTACAGATTTGAGTGTGCCAACCACTATCCTCATGTTCTCCAGAGTAGCCAACCATAAGAACATAATAGCCTACATGAAACAGGTGAGTGCCTAAGGGGCACAAGCATCTTTTCCATTTGCTGAAACTCATTGTTTCCTTTCCAGTTTAAATTCAATCTTTTTGAGCACATGTTTATCAAAATAGACCAAAATTTGAAATATTTTTCATATCAAGTCAGGTCTTGGACTGTTTTGTCCAGAAAGTAATGTAACCAGCCCCTCAGAAACGCGTAGCCAGAGAAAAAAAAAAAGAAGGCAACCCCCAGCACTTCCAAAGAACACTGCTGGCCTAAAGAGTTTTCTCTATGTTGAGAAAATAGCATGTTATTTAAAGCATTGGGAGTCAATACCAACCACAAGTTTTCCAAAAAATGTGACAGTACAAATTAACTGTACCTGCAAATGTTTCTTGAGTACTTGGTATGTGTCCTTTGACATTCTGATTACAAACTTATTGCTCCTGTTTGAAGTGATATACATTCAATGAATCAAAATGCATTCTCAATCCTGTTTGAGCAGGTGCACATTAAGTAATAGTTGTTACACTAAAAAAGCAATTTGTTGGTGAAGGTTTGGTGGAAAGTTTGAATGGCTGCTGTTCAAACAGACAACTTGATGATAACCTGTGTGCAGTCCCTCCCCCCTTAACTCTGAAAAAAACAATCCTGTTTTTTTTTTTTTTTGTTTTTGGTTAGGGTAGGGAGTGGCTTCACACAGGCTACATAAATGACTTAGAATATCCTTATATTACAGTTAACTAATTTGTATAAAATGAGCAAGCTAAAAAGTTTTTATACTGCCCTCAAAGAGAATAATTTCTATCAGTCGACCAGCATAACTAACACCAAATGTAGGATAATACACAGACATTTTCAAAAAAATTTTATTCTCACATCAAGTTTGACTCAGAAGTCTATAAACTTCAACTTAGGAATTGAGAATTGAGGATTGCGGATCAAGTTTTTTGAGGGATTAGCAACTTAGGACACAATCTGTTTCAATACCGTAAGGTTCCCATGAGCTCATTGCTTTTCATGTGTTCACGCCGTGTTATGGCTGCCAACTTGCTAAGGTCTTCTTCATGATAATCTTCCTGACTTCCTCGAAAACAGGCAAAAAAAGATTGTGCTGCAAAAAATATCAAGTAACAAAGTTTAATGGCAGCTATTTTTGGGCAAGGTGTTTAGAGAAAAGACCTCTCTCAATATGGTCTTAGAAATAAACCAGGAAAACTGGATCAGTAACACAAAGTCAAGTCTTGTCTGACTGGTAACAGATGGTGTATTGATATTAAAGGGAGAAGTTACATGTTAATCACTGCCAGGAGTTATCAGGTTAAAAAAGATCCCTTCACATGATTAAAAGGAAGAAGAGTCCCTTCTACAGTTGTACAGACTTAGAAAAACAGAAGTTGACCTATGAAAGAAGACTTTGTTTCCTTTTTAATATCATGATTTTTTGTGGGTAATTTTTGAGTAAGCCTTGAAACATGGCCTACTGATTAAGCATGCCAGTATTTCTGGCTTAATCATAACCATTACGATTTCTTCAAATGTCATTGGTGCATTACAGTTGACATGGACATGAACAGTGTAATCAGACAGTTGGCTGTAATCAGACACCAGTAATCAGACAGTTGAAGCAGCCAACGGTACTAAGTGCACTCAGCGAAATCCACCCATCACAGAATTAATCTCAATAACTGTAGCAACAACCACTTATCCCAAAAAGACTGAGGAATTTCCAAAATGGAGAATTTTTTTTACTTTAGACATTGTCTCTACAGGAGATATTTGACCTAAACTTATTTGTTTTCTTTTTTATAAATTGTGATGAGTATGATTAATTCATGACACGACTTCTTGCCGTCCAATTCTGTCTGTAATGTGATACTCATGATTAACAAATTGGACTCCCACTTTGTGGTCTTCCAAGTTTGTTGATCACTTGTATGATTACAGACCAAATTGGACTCCACTCAGTCCTATTATCATCATTAGGATGAAATATTGCAAGAATGGGCTATCAGAATAATCATAAAAAAACCTTACCCTCCTTATCACTTCCCTTGTATACCAGTTCAAGATACATATGCACAAACATGGGATAAAGTACCATGGCTAACTCAGGCTAAAAAAAATTAAAAAATTAAAATTCATTTTAAATTCCACATTAATACTCTAAATTAATTGACTAGCAGATCAAACAAGTCAAATATAAAATCCCCTGTCCTGCTCTACAATTAACCCTTTGATCCCAAAGAGTGACTAGAATCTACTTTCTCCTTAAAATATTATCCCAGAATCATATATTAAGGTTATGAGAATAAAGGAAATGATCACAAATTAAAGAAGTTCTTGATTGTTAATAAATTCTCCTTGTCAGCACCTAAGAATTAGTATAGAGGACAGTGTAGAGAATATGTATACTGATGTTAGAGTGTAAAGGGTTAAGGGAGAATACATTTAATTTTTTACCTTATACACATCCAATGATTTCTCTACAAAAGCTTGCAAACTGTATGTAATAGGAGGACAGAAAAAGATAATTCCAATAAATATAATGTAGGAGCAATGAAAAATAAATAAAACTGAGTAAAAGTAGCATCATCTTCAGGGTTGTGGATAAGAGCTGGCAGTTGGCAAAGTATGCCGGCTTCTCTGCAAGGTTTCGCCAGCTACTTTCATTCCTTCAAGAGCCCGTACAGAGATGATGTTCATCAGGTCTAAACTTGGGCTCAATAAAAATATAAATTTGCATTGTCTATCTTTTCTGAAAACATAAAAAGACTTCTGACTCAAGGTTAGTTTAAAAACGTTCTGATGGGGACTGTCTTTTGATAAATCTTACTGTGATGGCAAGAAAGTATGAACAATATGACGTTTTGTCTGCCATATTGGATTTCGAGATATGAATATATAATTGTGTGAGAAGGAAGCTGGGAAAGCCCATTGTATGGGTCCTTTGGACCCAGAACCATTTACCTTTAAAAAGCTCTGGCTACTTAAAACCTTAAAGAAAACCCTGATCTTTCCAATGAAATACAAGTACACTGTATGTATGTAAACCACTTCCACCATAATACTGTACTTGAAAATAGCATAAAAAACTGTAAAGAAGGTTCTCTCTGTACAGCTCTGTACAGAGGTTCACTCAAGACCAAAATTGAATAGTGCTGTTGCCTCCTTCAACACGAAAACTTCTGTTACCCATTTAACTCTCAAGATCTGATTGTTAATTCTCCTAACTAACTGTACATTTTCTTTTATATTAGTTATAAGAATTTGGTGTTAGATCAAGATAACAACTACCTGAAATTTTGAGTGTTCTCGTTACCTGTTTGCTAAATAATGTAAGGATATTATAGGGAGAGGTTATTGGTTAATCTCCTCCATGACTTAAGCCCAGAATATTCTCAACAACATGTACAGCTCTCCTTGAAAAACTACTTTCTTCAGTAAATATTATTTTAGAAAAGACATTGATCAACTCTATCTTGCTAACCATAAACAACCAGGTTGAGCATCAGCAGCTGTCTAGTTCACTGATGACCAAACATTTTATACAACAATGTACATAGCTCTACAAAAATGCTTACAAGCATAACACACCTGCTGTAATAGTCTTCATATCTTGTTGGATCTGCATCACTGGTTTGGGATTTTGAAAAAAAAAAAGAACATTAAGCATAATGTCAAATTTAATGGTAGGTCATTGAATAAACGAACTGAACCCATTTACTGGCTCTTGCCATTAATTATTCCCAATATCAGCAATACATTCATAATGCATTGTAGCATTAGTTCTGAGAATTTGATTAATTAAAATAAACTAAATGAAACACCCCAATTGATATATCTCTTTAATGTCATCACTGATCTGCTTGAAAATATGACGATTATTTGAAGAGAAATCACCCATTTGGTCACTCCAAGAGGTTAAGGGGTTATCGAGTCAATGCACCTAGGTTTGTAGCTGCTAAAATTTCAACCTGTTATACGCAGATAAGACCGAGGAAATATCTGGCTCTGAATCTGGAGTAGTTTGAAGATTTATTTCTTCTATTGCATCTAGCCCATTGACTTCTTGCCTGAAGATTTTCTCAGTTTCCTAAAACAAAAGAAAATATGCTTTATGTACTCTTAAACTTTTAGAGAAATCACATGTTCAAAGTACAGTAAATTTGAAAAGTTAAACTCATTCTTTCAATAAAATATTTATGAAACTCACAGACAAATTCTTCTTCTTCAAAAACTGAAGGACTGCGAGTAACGTTTCTTTTTCTTTACTCGGAGGATTAGATTTTGTCTGTGCTGAGGGCGCTGTGCTGCTCGAATTGGCAGCCATGTTGCATTTGGCTGTAAGAGACTAAGAACGAAAGAGCGCATAAACGAGCCCTGATTGGTCAATCTGATCCTCGTACCAGATTCCTCTCAAATCTTGTAAAGATAACAACGGAGGACAAACGACAATTGAAGAATTTTCACTTGTTCCAGATCTAGACCAGGTTTGGGATAAAATCTCGTTCGACCCTTCTTTTTGGCCGAATGGAAGAAAAAATTTTGAATTATTTATTTGAGATAAAAAAGTGCTTGAAGTCCGTTAATCGACGTTGACGATATTCCGAACGATTGATAGATTTGGAAATATTTTATGGAACTGTCATTAAAATCGTCAAGGAGGTCTTTCCTTCTTTCGCTCCATGCCTGATTAAAATGAACCTTTGTAGACCTCAAAAACAAAGAGCAAACGCGCCGAAGAATGCTCAAGTGGGTAGAAACGGGCTTCAAAGTCTTAAAACAGCTGAAAATCAACGATGTTACAATAGATGTGGAAAATTTTGGGACGCCGTGTAAGCGATTTTAATTCTCGTTTTGAGATTAATTTTAGTGTATCTGTTTGGCTGCCATTTGGTCATTGTTTACAATTATTTGGCGTCTAATTTACCATGTTTTGAGGTTTTACAGATTTCATTGGATCTTCGATATTAATTTTTTTTATTGTTCGGCGTTCAAGTCTTGAAACCTTATTATTATGTATATGATGAAAGATAAAGTTGATAACCAACTTGTCATTTAAGGAAATATTAGAAGGAAATTTTGAAAGAAATGGTGGAGGGAGAAGGCTGTTCTCATACTTTGAGGTAGCTCTAAGGAGTATTTAATTTTTTGTTGCTATATTTTTCATTTCATTCCATGGCTCGTCAAGAAGAGAGCTTGCGTGACGTGCCAAAAGAATGTCTGCTCGGGGGTTAGTAGATCGTAAACTCTTGTTCTGAGTCAACATTGAATTTATCACTTTCCAAGTATGACTGTTGGTAATGACCAACGCATCCCACATTTACGCCTATTAAGGCGTCTCGCTTTCTTTATACCCGAAAACGAAATTTCAACCAGAGTTACGGTTTATTTTGATTTTACGTTTAACTTTCATTTCATTTTTTCTACAAAAAATACTCGCACTGCTTGAAGTTGACACAACGTGATCATTCGTGAAAAGGACGCCCGTTTAAATGGCGATAGGCTAAGCTTTAAAATCAGAAGCCTTTATTAGACTTCTGGCTTAAAACGAAAAAAGAAAGAGGCAAATATCTGAAGAACTGTGTGAATTCATTAGCGAAAAGGAACTAAATGTTCCTCTCAATATTCCACTTGGCTTATGTTATGAAGACGAATGTCGTAATCGGAAATCAATCCGAGATATCTTCCTTCCCACGGTTCTTCCAAACAAATACAATCGTTGCATTTCAACACGAACAGCAACACGCACACTCTTTCACAGTATCCGCTGACCAGTAGGATCAAGGAGGCCAAAGCGTTAACAACCTCAGGTGTAGAGTAAATTTCGAACTCGTTCCGGTGAAAAAGACCAAATTCATCTAATACATAATTTATCTCGACGCTTCCCCTAACGATCAGAAGTCGAGTGTCTTATTTATTGGGCTTTTAACGTGAAATCTCATTTTAACATTTTGCCGAATTTCTTCGAGAAAGGGGAATGCCTGCAGGAAGGATCGAATGATACACCGAACAGTTTTGTTTTGGTTTTAAGTGTGGGATTTGACTTCGACATGTAAAACATCCTTTCACAAACTCAGCTGAGAGCCAACAAAATTGCGATGTCTTCCGCTGCTTACACGCCGTTAGATGATACGGACACAGATGATCCTAAAAGGGGGCAAGGTAAATAATTTCTTACTGTTTTTTTTACTGGGTTTCGAGAATTAAGCTTATCTGAAATCGAATTTCAAAGGTTTTGATCTTGTACCGAACAGTGTTTGTAATTCAAATTTCATGAACAGACATGTTTTCCAGTACACATGAATGTTGATGTTAGTGTGTTCTAGTGCATTTAATCAACTAATCGAAGGCAAATTTATCGAAAACCTTGAGGTAATTCCCGGAAAGTAATATTTAAAATTAACCCATCATAGGAACTACAGCCAGTATTGAAAATGTCCGTATTACTTTGCCTTTTTAATTGTAGAAAAATGAAGAAATCATATTATGTAGGCGTTAAAATCAGTCTTGTGTGAAAAAAGCTGACCAGCTCTTATAGAACCTTTTTTCAAAGCAATGGTCTATTTGAATGATAGTTTTCTTTCAATTTTTATCAAAATACAACAACGAATTGATGTTGCATGCGCGTTCAACCCACAGTTTTTGGTTCCATAAATAAGATGTAATGCCGGTTATATTGTCCTCTGCTACTGTTTGACGTCTTTCCCGTATTGTCGCAAGTAACTTGATTTTTTAGAGCATTTTAGTCTCGAAATTAAAGTGGACTTATTCGCGGGTACAGTGCGAAGTCGAAGTATTACAGGATAGTTTAGAGCATTTTGTTTATTAAAGAGACATTGCCCTGAGGATTTTCCTCTCTTGTCTTTGATATCGATTTTTTTCCTCTTCTTTTTCATCTTGTTGTCTAAAAAAATGTTCATCCATCAAAATCACTTCAAATTTCTTATGTATCTGTTTTAAAAGGTTATTATCACAACCAGATGAATATGCAACTGGTTAATTGGCAGACAATTCCATAATACACCAGATTTACTTTAGTCAGTGAATCTAGCTTTAACCCTTGGAAGAATGACCAACAAGGAATTTCTCCTCAAAATAGCAATACATTTTAAAGTAGATGGATGATGAGAAGAAAAGAATATATAAACTAGGGAATATTGATTGAATTAACCTTCAAACTCTTAGAACTGATAGTCAATTCTCCCCTCTAGCTGCTACACATTTTCTTGTAAATTAGTGAAGAGAATGTGGTGTTTATGAAAGAAATCTACTTCTACCTGACAAGATTGAATATACCCACTACTTGTTTGCTGGATAATGTAGGGTTATAATAGAGAGATGTTACATGTTAATCACTTGTGACGGTGAAAGGGTAAAACAACAATTCTGAGAGGTAAAATTATGTGAAATTTATGACAGACAGTACAAAGACATGATCTTTAGATTGAGGTAGTGAAAGGGTTAGATTAAAATTGTTTTCTTTTTTTGTCCCAGTTACAGAAATATTATATCTTTTTTCGTGAGATTTATTGGAAAATTAATTGATAATTTTCACCTGTTTGCCTCCAGGGGGCTTATTAAGTGCCATTTTAAGTTACATACGTGGGTGTTAATGGAGAATATGATAGTGATTCATGGCAAAAAAAAATTTGGGAAAAATAGGATCATATTGTATTGTAAATTGTTGAATAACTACTAGGCTGATTTTTTTTGCTTTAAATTTTGAAGGTATGAACTAGGTACCTAAATAATTGAATGGATTCAGTCTGTTTTGATTTGTTGTAACTTTGTCAGTTACATGTACGAGTACATCTATGACCTTCTGTCTTCAAACATTTTTTTTTTTTGTTGAAACTTCAATGTGTGTATCTGTATGTTTAGTCTGACTTTATAGGACACTGTTGTTATTAATAACAATGTTTTTATAGTGTTCTACATGTATCTGTTCTAACACTCATAAAATAAATCTGCTTCTTGAGTATGGCATTTTGAAGTTTTGAAGGTATGAAGCAAATATTATCCACAGTAATAGAAATTTTTCTCTTCAAAAGAGAGATTAAGAGGTTGGCTATTTAAAGGGGAAAGGGAACCATTTCTGAAGATTCTTCTGAGTATTTACATACTGAGTATGTTTTGTTATTCAGCGAGTAGAGTGATACATTACTGATTGTGCCTTGTAGCTTCAATTTACACTTTTTAACATATTCCTTTCGTGAATTTTAGAAAATGAAGGGGACGAAAGGAAAGGAAAGGGAGAAAAGTCAAAATTACAGAAAATAAAGGTATGTTTCTATATCCTATGCTGGTGTAATTATCAGTGATTTTTTTATGTTTACATATAGCACTCTTAGCTTAAGGCTCATTAATAAAATTGATCTTGGTAGAAGTTCCTTTTTTAGATTTTCAGTTCTTGCCTTGATGTAGTAATGCTGCACATAAGCCCATTAGTGACCAAGACGGAATTTCTCCTTACAATATCAATACAATATCAAGCAGAAAAGTAATGAGAATAAAGAAAAATATCAGTTAGGGGGTCATAAGTTGATTCAATACCAAATTTTCCAAACTAACATTACAAGAACTGTATAGCAGACAGTAAGGAGAATTTCTAAGGAGGTCTTGGGAGTTAAAGAGTTAAAGTAAATATTTGTGTATGGAGCAGCTGAAGTATTTCTATACAACCCAGGGCTTAATTTTGTCCCAGAATTTAACAAGATAGAAATAATTTTTCTTACAGAATGTGTTTCACAAGACTGGTTACCCGAGTGCAGTGTGGTATATTTTGGGAAATGAGTTCTGTGAGAGATTCTCATACTATGGGATGCATGGTAAGTTACACTGATTGCAATCTAGAAGATGAGTAACACCCCAGGCATTAAAATCATAGTTGAATAGTGTAATTAAAATTCTCCATCTAATTAAAATACTCCATGCAATTAAAATACTCCGTGCAAGGAAGTCTATTGGTGACATGACACAAACTTGGAATCTTCAGTTTAAATAGATTTAGTTGTAATGGTTTCATGTCTTTGGTGTTTAAATTTGTTTAGTTGGATAGCTTAATAATTTTATTCATTTGGTATATCACTCTTATACTTGTTGTATATTTAGGAATCAGGTTATTGAATTTTTAATATTATTCATGTTATTAAAACTTTAAGTCTGTTTACCTTGATTAACCCTTTGACTCTCAAGATCTGATCGCTAATTCTCCCCTCTAGCTGCTACACATTTCCTTGTAAATCAGTTATGATAATTTAGTGTTAGATCAAGATAACTTTTATCTGATAAGGTGGAGTTTTCTCAAGAACTGTCTGCAGGATTATGTATGGATATTATAGGGAGAAGTTCCTCATTAATCACTTCTGGGAAGTAAAGGGTTAAAGATAAATGAACTTGGCTGTGGATCCCAAAAAGAAAGAAGGGGGAAAGTACAATTTGAAAGAGAAACAATTTACATGACTGGAGGAGAATGAGAAAAACGTTTTTTGGACATAATACCATAACCAAAGTCCTGTTAACCCTTTAACTCCCAAGATCTGATTATTAATTCTCCCCTGCAGCTGCGACACATTTCCTTGTAAATTAGCAATGAGAACTTGGTGCTAGATCAAGATAGCAGCTTCTATCTGATAAGTTTGAATATTCTCATTACCTGTTTGCTGAAGAATGTATGGATATTGTAGGGAGAAGTTTTATGTTGATCACTTCTGGGAGTTAAAGGGTTAAAACTCTGGGTTTTGCGATCTTTACTGACCACAGAATCCACCTCATGGATAGTATGTAATTATTTTTCTATTTTCCCTTTACAGCCATTCTTGTCATCTACCTGACACAGATGTTGAAGATGGATGATGACTCTGCCACAGCAGTTTATCATGCCTTTAACATGTTGTGCTATTTCAGTCCTCTTTTTGGTGCAATGTTAGCAGACAGTCTGTTGGGAAAATACAAGTGAGTCATTTTACTATACTACAAAACGTCATATCACAAAGAGAATACTTTTTGAAGATGACAAGTTGTGACTCATGCTTCAGACGCTAAGCAATCACTAGATAACAAGTAAAATTATTTGTGCACATGTAATTAAATTTAATGTAGAGGAAATATGATGCTCAAATGAATCTCTTTTTTCGTTTACAGGACCATACTCTATGTTTCAATCATTTATGCCATCGGCAATGTCACTGTTGCTATCACATCAATTCCTGCAGTACTGGCAAAAGTAAAAACGTGAGTTAATTGTTTTTCTAATGAAATGCATGTAACAGTAAGTTACAGTAGTAGCTTAATGACTGGTAACCCTTAAACTCCCAAGACAGAATTTCTCCTTATAATTCTGATGCAAAATCAAGAAGACAAGAAATGAGAATAGACCAAAATTTCAATTAGGGGATTACAGGTTGATCCAATACCAAATTATCCAAAGGAACATCAAAAGAATTGCATAGAAGTCAGTAAACAGAATTTCTAATAAGATCTTGGGAGTGAATGGGTTAACAACCTTCAACAGATTGGTGACCTTGCATGGGACATGAATGTAAAAAATTATTATGTATTTTATAGTTGTTGAGTAAGCCTTTACTCCTTCAGAAGAAGTGATTAACATGCACAGCTGTAACTTCTCCTTACACTTCCATCAAGTTATCTTGTAAACAGGTTGTGAGAACAGACAAGTTAATCAGCCAGGGGCCGTTAATTTAAATAAAGATCAACTTCTCCTTTCTAATTGACAAGCAAAAGTATGGCAGTTAGTAGGAAGAATTACTAATTGGATCAAAAGGTTAAAATTCTGTCACTCTTAGATTCAGATGTTGTCAGACAGAAAGTTTAATAAGAGCTGGTAACCAGCGGAATTCACCATCTTTGTCATGCAAAATTGCCACCTATTTTCTTCACAGTTAACATCATCAGAGTAAAGATTGAACTTCCATTAGCTGCCTATTTTACAGATTTTTTCCTTCTACTTCAAAACTTATTAAAACCCCTGGTCTCTGTTTTGAGTGATATGAAAAGAGTAATCATGTCTTTCATTAGTGATGTGCATGAGATAAAATCACCAGAAATTGGTAATATTCCTAGCATTCAAAGATATTTTCTTAACTGAAAATAACATTGAGCTGAGCTTTTAAGAACTCCAAGGAACATCTTTTCTCTGTGGAAAATCTAGCATCTTGTTGGTGTCTCGTTAGCTGGACTTAATTCTATTTTGAGTTCTTTTGTTCATTAAGGTCTTGAGATACTTGCTCTAACAGTAAGCATTGTTTGCTAGTAGCCTTGTTTCAGTGTCAACTTAAGGGACAGGCATTTGCATAACAAGGCAGTTTTTGATGTAACACTGGGTGGCAGATATTAATTAAAACAAGATGTGGTTTCTTGGGCCATGTGATTTCTTTGTATTTAAACAGTAACTTAACTCTCTCAATACTTCTCTCTCCTGTCAATTTGAGTGGGTTTCAGAGTATTGTCTGGGGGATACATACATACATACCTACATACATACATGTAGTTACAAATGTACATACTCTATTGGCTCGTACTCTTCCACGGGGCTTTTCAGGGGATCCCGATAATGCATGGAGGTAGAGTGGAGGGCGAGGGGAAGCATCCCATCAAGGGGATGGGAAGATAGACGGCATTTTGCTACAGAAAATGGACTGAGTTAAGGTGGCAAAGGTCATTTGGCATATGGTGATGACTAATGAATGAATGGTTAGTTGTCCTCTTTTGTTGACTTTTTCTCCTTCTTTTCCAGGGCTGGTCCAATGATTGGATTGCTGTTAATCGCACTTGGTACAGGAGGCATCAAACCGTGTGTGTCAGCTTTTGGGGGAGATCAGTTTACTGCTGATCAAGTAATGTACCTGTAGAGTAGAAAGTTGTTATGTTTGAGCTACATGTGCTACATAGTAGTATGTACTGCAATCATTATCATTATGACCACTATTCCTGCAAGCAAATAGATTATACAATAGGTCTTGTGCATGTTTATAAAGTGCAGTACAATGTACATTGGAAAGCCAAATTAACCTTGGAGCTTTCAAGGTGCATATGGGTGAATTTAAATATCATAATGACAGTATTCCTCAGACACTAAAATCTAAAGAATACTGATATAAAAACAGCAAGAAATTGGCAAAGATTCACAAAAATTTTTAGTGCAAGTGAGTTATAGGAGTGAATTTTGAGTTAATTAGGTCATTGTGTGTCAGAAATATAGTAAGATGTGGCTCATGGAACTCTAACTTAAATCTCATTTGAAATCTTAACCCTTTAATTCCCATGAGTGACCAAGACAAAATTTCTCCTCACAATATCAATACAATATCAACCAGATAAGTGACAAGAATAAAGAAAAATATCAATTTGGAGATAATTAGTTGATCCAATACTAAATTCTCTAAACTAACATTATAAGAATTGTATGGTTAACAGTAAGGAGAAAACAGAGGCAAAAGATAATAAGCACAAAAAACATACCAAAAACATACTTGTTGCTTTTTAAGTAATATGCTTTTATTTTATTGCCTTTGTTGCAGGAACATTTACTTCAGAGCTATTTTTCCATTTTCTATTTTGCCATCAATCTTGGTAGCCTTTTATCTATGATTGTTACACCAATGCTGAGAGGCAAGTGATTCAATGTGAACATGTATTTAGTAACACACAGTTGTGCTATTTTAAAGAAAATGAATATACATTGTTTGAAGATCAATTAATAATTATTTACAGTAGGGCATTGTTGGGGTTATGAACTGAGCATCTCTCTCAAAGAGCAAGCAGAGATGTTCTTAATAAATTTTACAGTCAGTGATTCAAGTAGCTGGCTGATGCTTTACAGCAATAAAGACCTTATTAAAGAAGTTACAAACTACAGCGACAAAGACCATATTAGGTCCCTTTATAGTGCAAACAAGGAAAGTGTCTTTTAGTGCCAGCCTGTTGACATTGTCCTCTTCTACATTGTAGATTCCTGATCATGAGTAGTTTTTTTGTTTGTTTGTTGTTGTTGTTGCTTTTTTTTATGGGGGATGCAAGACTGTTTAATGATGTTGAGGATATGTTTTTTTTCAGGTGATGTGTCCTGCTTTGGTCAAGATTGTTACATGTTGGCATTTGGAGTCCCTGCTTTGTTGATGATCCTGTCAATTGGTACAGTGTATAATATTTTTCCTACATTTACAACGCTGTCCAAAATTCTTAACCTTTTAACCCCTAAGTGACTAGCATCTAATTTCTCCATACAGTATGACCCCTGAATCACACATTATGTACAAAGGAATAAAGGAAATGATCACTAACTAAAAAAACCTCTTGATTAACAAATTCTCCTTGTCAGCACCTTAGGAAATGTCTGTAGAATAGTATAGAGAATATTCTTTTTGATATTAGGGTGTAAAGGGTAAAGGGACGTGTGGACTAAGCCTTAATTGGTTTTTGAAGTCACTTCAACATAAATTTTCCTTGGTAAATACAAAGCAACTTGTAGGGAGGAATTTAGTAGACTATCATTTGTCATGTAGGGCTTATTACCATGTAGCCCCCCACCCCTCCCCCATATCAGTGAACATGCTAAATTTTGTTGACCAGTTCAATTTTTTTTCCACAGCATTGTTTTACTGTGGTCGTAACAAGTACAAGAAAGTCCCACCAGAGGGAAATATTGTTCTACTTGTCAGCTGTGCTGTCGGGGTTTGTATCATCCATTAACTTTTAGAATTAAATTAATTTTACAATATAGTTTTGAATGAAAGAAAAGCTCAAAATGTTTCTTCAATCTTAGTATCATGATTGATCCAATTTTTTAAATCTGATTTGTTTTGTTTTCTCACCAGAATGCTATTAAAAATAAGGTGAAAAGTATTGGTTCAGGGGAAAAGAGGGACCACTGGATGGACTATGCAAAGAAGGATTATGATGTAAGTTCCACTGAACTGGTTACGTTTTTTATTTACAATTGATTATTTTATGATGCAGCTATATTCCTGTTTTCAAATTATCTCTCATGATAATTGTTATTGTTTTTCTTAGTCAAACTTGGTGGAGGACATCAAAGCACTGTTCAAAGTTCTTTTCATGTTTTTGCCTTTGCCTGTGTTCTGGACGTTGTTTGATCAACAGGTGAGATATTTTATTCCTCGACACATAAACTGTTAACCCTTATTGAATATTAATTTTTTGTAATGTAGCGATGTCTGTGAACTGTAAGAAATGAAATCCAAAACCATTGAGAAAACTGTTGTGAAAATTGTATCATTGCTGCTGCATTTCTTGGCAAACTTGTTTTAGTGACCATACCCTCCCCTTCCTGCATCCACCCAGTCAATGTCACTTGGTTTGTAGTGTTGACTGTACTTTCAATAGAGGAGAGAGGGGGTGGGGGAGGAGGGAGGGAGGGAGGGGTGGCAGCTAGGCTTCTTGGTTAGGTGTTAGGATATGTCAATACCACTAGAGCTATTTAACAATTAGATTGTGAGCTCCAGATCTAAATTAAATGATTGTAGATTAGGGAAAAGCCTGAAGGAACAATCAAACATCCTTGTTACTCTGATTGTAATGTTTTATAAAGATAAACAAATATATTAGTACATAGGAAACAAAATATCATGGTAGTTACATTCAGAGAAATACAGAGCACAGGAATATGCAAGCATTTATCTATAAATCCTTTAACTCCCAGAAGTGTTAAATTTGTAACCTCTCCCTACAATATCCATACATTACTCAGCAAACAGGTGATGAGAATCATCAAACTTGTCAGGCACAAGTTGTTACCTTGATCGACCACCAAATTCTTGTTAATCATTACAAAGAAAGGTGTAGAAGCTAGAGAGGAGAATTGACAATCAGATCTTGGGAGTTTAAGGGTTAAATTGTTTTTGTGCTGTTAATTTTAGGGTTCACGATGGACTCTTCAAGCTGAAGAAATGGATGGTAACTTAGTAAGTAAATGGCAAATAATATTTCATGAAGTTTAAAACCAGTAGTGGAATTTCATGTTTTGGATGGTTTACACACATGTATTTCTCATAGAGGAAGAAAAATAGGTGAACAGGCAAACTTGGAGAAACTCAGAACTCATTGTCTTTGACAGGCTCAAGGTAGATAGGTGATATCACTCGGCATTGCCAATTACGACAGACACCTGCCTGAACTGGACTGAATTTCTCTTAGTTAGCCAGACTTTAGCCTAAATGATGGTGCACCATACATTACAGGTTACTAAAAACCTGAGATATTTTGCTTGTTTCAACACTTTTATACTTGTTAAAATAGTTTTCTCAAATGTTTACCTTCATGAAGAACAAATCATTGATATCACTGTATTCTTCGTAATATGTTATTTATTTTATTGTGCTTTTACAGGGCAAATTTGGAACCTTAAAACCTGATCAAGTGCAGGTCTGTTTTCATTTTGACCATTGTTTACTTATACATTAACCCTTTACACCCTAACATCAGTATGCATATTCTCCATACTGTTCCCTATACATTTCCTATGGTACTGGTAAGGAGAATTTGTTTAACAATCAAGAGCTTCTTTAGTTGGTGATCATTTCCTTTATTCTCATGACCTTGACGTGTGATCAATGGGGTGATATTGTAAGGAGAATTTAGATTGTAGTCACTCCCAGGCAAAGGGTTCATTTGTGTGGCCATGAGCTCTTTAGACATTTTTTTAATTTTCATTTTTGGCACTGTAAATTCTCTTCTCGTTTTTCATTTTGTATTATGAAATAATTCAAATAGTACGCGCGCTCTGATTGGCCATAAAACCATTTTACATGAGCGTATGTAAACACGGTTTTCGTTCCTCTTTCATTAGTTATTTTATAAAAGAAATGTAAAATGGTTTCCGTGTTTACATAGCCTGATGTAAACACTTGGGAGGTTGGGAGAACACTTGATAAGCTGGAAACCTCTCCGCTTCACGTTGTGGTTTCCTGCGCTTATCTCGTGTTCTCCCAACCTCCCGCGTGTTTACATCAGGCTATGTAAACAAGTTTAATTTTTGAGGAAGTTCATCACGATACTGTTTTTGCTTTTCATTAACCCGTTTCTCAGTTGATAAAATCATGAAAACTTCAAAATAAGACCTATTTCAAATATTCAATGATCAATTCATTTCAATGTAAATGGTACCTTCTGTGAGCCTCAGCTTTCATAAATTATTATTTACTGATCAGTAACAGAAAACCGCAACCGAAGAAACTAAAATAACAAACCTTGAAATAATAGTATTTCAAGTTTGCGCACTGTTTAGTAAATTTTATAAAATAACGAGATACTAAGAGCGCCCTGATTAGTCAAAAACATACCGTATATTGCACCGGTAAACCAATAGAAGATTTAAGTTTGTCTTATAAAAGCAATAGACTGCACGTGCTATCAGTTTACTGGCGTACTAACCCACGTGCGCGAGCTGGAGGCGGGTGATGTATTGCTTAATTCAACAGGTTTCACTGCAATGAGGTTCATATCGTGGAAAGAATGCCCATTTGTTTTTATAACGTTGTATTTCAACAGGCGCTCAATCCAGTGTTTATTCTGATCATGATTCCAATTTTTGAAAACATTGTTTATCCTCTTCTGAGAAAATGCAATCTTCTTGTGAGGTACGAACAAACCCTTTTTGTACGTTTTTACCTATTTGTTTGACTCAACATCAGTGAGAACTGTGTTTGTTCTTCATGCGCCTTGAACTCTTTTCTTAACAGGCCCTTACAGCGTATGTGCGCTGGAATGCTGCTGGCAGCATGTTCATTTGTCATGGCAGCCTTCATACAGATTGCAATACAGGTAACGTAGATTTTTCCATTTTCAAGTGAACACTGCATTATTGATTTTTTTGCTGTACTTCCCCGTGTGAACGGCCAAGGAAAACGAGCTTAATGGTCTCAACCGATCAGATCCAAAACTTAACCAGTCGCGATTTGGTCATCCACGTTTTCCCGCGCTTCTGGCAGTTTGAAGCTTTTAGAATTCTGATTGGCTATCTGTGATATTTTCCTCTGTCCTGATTGGCCATTGCGTTTACTTTGGTTTTGGTTGTACGACCCTCAACCGCTCGAACGATTTCAGTTCATTGTTGGGATGTCTTTGGATCTCTGCAACAAGCCAAACTCCGTTTTGAGTAATGTCCAAAATGATTTGTAACTTTTTAAAAGAGGTCAAATTATCGGGATTATTTTTTGTTTGTCTTGTTTTACAGCGAAGTCGAGTCGCAGCGGACGTTCCACCAACAGGTTTCGCCAACCTTCGTGTCATTAATGCCGGAGTTTGTAAAATAAACGCGTTCGGTGTTGGCTTGAACGCAGAGGTGCCTTTGATGCAGGTATGGAAATCAATTAATTACGTTGGTGTTAAAATTTTTCTTGAGTTTTGTTGTGAATGTAATATTTCAGACTGCAGTTATCTTTTCATCTTCCCCCTTAGTGTATTCTCTTTTCAGTCACGTTTCAGCGCTTTGACTGGCCGTTCGAGTGCCCGTTCGCTCGATCGTTTGTTCGTCAGTTCTTTCTTTAGTCGTTCGTCAATCGTGAATTCGTTCGTCCGTCTGTTTGTTCGTTCGTTCGTTCGTTCGTCGTTCTTCCGTCGTTCATCAATCGTGAATTCGTTCGTTCGTCAGTTCGTTCCTTCGTTTGTTCGTCGTTCGTCAATCGTGAGTTCGTTCGTCCGTCTGTTTGTTCGTTCGTTCGCTCGTTCGGTCCATCGCCCGTTTATCTAGTGAGTCAGTCGGTCTGTCTTTCTGCTACCCAGTCAGTCAGCCGGCCAGACAGTTAGTCATTCGATCAGTTAGTAAATCAGTCTGCCAGTTTTTCAGTCAACTATTAATTTTTTCTATAATTCATTCGATTTTATTGGATATAGATGTTAGAATAGTCTCAGAATTGACCTCTGATCTCGTCTCTTTTTGTTTCCAGGCTTCGGATTATGCTCACGTCCCAGTTACTCTGGATACAATAAACGTAAAAACGGTTGACTGTCCCACCAAACTCACCAAGTCATTCTCGGTGAAGATCAAAGAAAAAGGCGCAACCACTTTCGTTGTTGGAATCGAAAAGAATGCGCTGATTGGAGAGCAGGTACATTTAACAAAGTGTCATGTTGCCTGGATTGAGTTATAAAAGCGTTACAATCATTGAACTATTCACGAAATTGTAACGTTGAGTTCCGCTCAAAAGTTAGTTAACAGTCTCCGCTCGAAACTCGATCCTCGAAACTACTGGGAATCGAGGTTCCAACAAAAGAGGAAAAAGTGGCTGTTTTTGCTATTCTGCCTAACGCTGGATACTTGAAATAACCAACTTGATAAGGCGGAAGTTGGAGAAACAGCCTGGACTATAAACAAATTAGTTCAATTGTTCGGAAACACCCATGAGTATCGTTAGAAATCATAAATGATGCACCAACAGGTGTTTTTGAGTAAACTTTGCACAAAATTTTGTTCCGATGGTAATACTTTTTTTCCTTTTTTGCTCTGGCTATTGTTTCAGATTGAGGATATTCTCGAGCCATTAAAAGGAAGTGTAGCAAAAGTCAGGTAGGCGATGAAGTGTATTGAAATGTCAAATCCTTGTCCTCTCGTTACACATGTAGTGCCGCCTAATATCACATGTGGTCATGTTATTGAACTTATGACTTAAAATCTTGTTATGCGGTGATTTGCAATGATTATAAGCTTCCCATGTATTTTAAACTTCATGACAAAAAGATAGGTGATGAATTTGAAAGCGACCTTCGCAGTAATAAACACCACACAAGCAGTAGTGAAATTAAAACCTAAAAAAAATTCCGGCCTGTACGGAATTTGAACCCAAGACCTCTGCTATACTGGTGCAGTTTTCCTGTGTCTTATTTTCACCACTGCGAAGATCACTTCCTAATTCATTTCTTAAAGCGCAGTTCACACATATATGATTTTCAAATATCTACAGTTACTGAAAAAGGTACGTGGTAAATATATTTATAAACAAATCAATCAGTCACTCATTTCATTAGTAAGTGCCCACATACCCGCGGGCCGTATATTACTGTACGGCCCGCTAAATTCGAAAGTTTGTTTGAATTGAAGTGTTCCTCCCTTTATTTGAACCTAGATGTACAAAAAGTATCTTACTAACCTGGTTTTCCCGGTGAGTTAAAGAACCTTGTTTCTTTGCTCGGATTTATGGCCCGCGTGCTACACGCTTGCGCCATAAATCCGAACGGAAAAGACCGGCTTGGTCCGTAACTTACGGTACGGACTTCGAACTCGGATGGTAAGTTTAAGGGAAAAAGTTGCATCTGCAATGAAACGTCCTTCGTCAAAAATGATTTAATTTATTTGAAAATCATCTAAGTTGCCTTGCGCGAGAGGATTTCGGTGACGCTTTCGATGACATAAACTTGTTTTACTGTCACAGATTTTTTCACACTGGGGGTGATGTAGCACCGTCTGTGGACATAAAACTCAACAAAACTTTAACGTACAAGGACATTGGAAGCTTTAAAAACACCGACTACAAGGAACTTTTATCAAAGAAGTAAGTTTCTTACCAGTTTCCTACTCTTCAGATTACTTCGTCCCCAGGCTCTCTCTTCTTTTCCTCAGACCCTGGAAACGAGGCTTCGTCTCATTTTACTAGATCTTAGAACAAGTTAAATTTAAGAAGAGATTTCGCGTTGGAAAACAAAGAATCGGAATCTAAAGTCAAACGTTTCTAAGATGATGATATTTAAGCGTAAACGAGAGTTGCTTTTGTGTGGTACTTATTTACAATTGGAAGCCTTCTTTATGACGTCTACGCAAGGCAGGGTAACTTTTTCAAATATGAGTAATAAACCCCCTTATTTTTGTTGGAAGAGGGGCTACCGAAAAACAACAATCGTTCGTGGATTACCGGGTGAGAGAAGCCTTCAGAAAATACTTGCAGAAAGGCATTTTTGCCCTATTCCCAAATCTCTTGCACCAAATATTTCAAGTTTGCAGCTCGACGATTGTATTCTGCTTGATTCAGATTCCTGTTCCTTTCAGGTATCTGATTAAAGTTATGACCGCTGGAACAGACGATAAACTTCTAAGCCAGAAGATGTACTTTGGTGATGGCGGCGTATACACTGCAATTATACAACCAGATCCTAAGAAGAATGATCAGGTTGAGATTCTTTTTTACAGAGTAATTTCAAGTGGAATCAGAAATTTAAAAATCTTCACTTTTAACTGATTAAAATTAAAACTAAGAGGGCAGGTTTTTTAGGACATCTTAAAAGTTCTCACGGTTGAATTTGTTCCTTAGTTGCGCGCTGTATTTATCGCTAACTTTAAGTGGCTTCCTCCTTGAATGAGAATCATTTGCAGCTTAAAACAATAGATGTTTCAGTCACATTTATTTGCGAACACTGAGAAATTCCGCCTTTTGAACTCGAAACAATGGAAGACATAGCTTCATCTCCTTATCGAATAGTTCTCCCGCACAGTAACGAAATTTCAGAGACTTCATGTAGTCCCAGGAGAACAATTCAATATTTTACTTTCATTTCTACAAATATCTTAGACGTGTTAAGTGATACAGCCGTTATTTGTAGTCCAATAAGATCGGATCTTTCTTAAGTTACCGCCATATTTTGTATAATTGGGTCACCGTTATATACCGCGAAGGCTCAAGTTACGTTAAGGGAACGGGAAGCAGCGATTACATGTTATACCTAAAATCGAGTCACCTCAGTTGCACTTGGGTGTTGTGGACTCTTCTGGCCATCGCAGATGTTATAGGGGAATTAAGTATTTCAAGCGCATTTAATTGGAGATTTTTGTTGTTTTAGCTGACCATCAAGAAGTTTGCGGATGTCAGAGCGAATTCAATCTCTATGCTGTGGCAGATTCCACAGTATGTGACCATCACCGCAGGGGAAGTTCTTTTCTCTATAACAGGGCTGGAGTTCGCTTACTCTCAGGTGAATGTACACCTAGTTTACAATTTTCAACTTGTTCTGTCGTAGTTTTGTACGGTCTCCTTGCCTTCCAAGGAAGAAGAGAGACCTCAGGACTGACTTTCCTGTCACGCAATGACACTTCTTTGGGTGCAGTGTAGTTGCGTGACATATAAAAGAGGGGGGAAGCATTTGGAAAGTGATGCATTGCCACTCTCACAGTAAACCCAATGTCCTTTCAATTACTGCGTCGCTATTGATAATCAGGGAGCACTATTAAACAGTCGAAATTGCAATTGGACCGGTGTGACTTGTCATACAATCTCAACGTGGTTTGGAATGTCTTGAATTGTCTGTGTTTTTTTCTGTTCATTCTTAACTCGAGAAATGGCTGAAACATTTCCGAGTTGTGGTTATGACCTCAAATTTACTCCATCCGTCCATCACTCCTTCATTCCATTCCTGTTAATTTTGGGTAGGCCTGCTGACTAGCATATAAAGCGTTCGCATTTTTAGGAAAAGAAAGAGAAAAGAGAAAGAAGGACAAAACCCAAAAAAACTCACTGTCACTTGGGATATATCCCCAGACCTCTCGCCTCAGAGGATAAGCTTTCTCTATTGCACCAAGTATGCAGAGCGTAAGCGGTTTTTGGGAGTATACCATATAGATAAAACGTTACCTTTCTTAACCAAAAGTTTTAAAATATGAGGTCAGTTCAGTGACCTCGAAGTCTCTTTCGCCCTTTCATTATTCATTTTCCGTGTTCAGTGGCTCACAGTTACTTTGATTTTTGCATTAACCCTTTACACCCTAACATCAGTATGCATATTCTCCATACTGTTCTCCATACATTTCTAAAGAGGCTGCCAGGAGAATTTGTTTAACAATCAAGAGCTGCTTTAGTCGGTGATCGTCTCCTCTATTCTCATGACTTTCATGTTCGATTCAGGGGTGATATGGTAAGGAGAAATTAGATTGTAGTTACTCCCAGGTCACTCCTAGGGGCCAAAGAGTTAAACAGATTTTCAGTTAACTCTTTGTTTTAAATTACTTTCTTCAACAGGCTCCTGTTAGTATGAAATCTTGTGTAATGGCTGGCTGGCTTATGACAGTGTCCGTTGGAAACGCCATTGTTGTGGTGTTTGCAGAAGCCCGACTCACCGACGACATGGTAAGAAGAGCGGTTTTGTTTTCATCACTTGTCAATCGATGTAAAAAATGTGTTTTTATTACTTAACTGAGAACCGTGCGTTACAGAGTAAAAGGATTAAGGTCTGGGCCCTAATTAGGACCGCTTTGTTTTGGTATTGAACAGCAGACTTTATTCTTTCAGTACCTCTTCAACCCAAGTCCTCGGAATTCAACCTGAAACAATAAAGCCACTTCGCTATTTTTTATTTTTGCTTTTCCTTAGAAAAGCTTTTTGGTATGAAGATCATTTTCATCGGTCGTGATAACCAGTCACAAAATGTTGTTTCGTAAGCCGAAGATATGATTTTGAATCCACTAAATGTAGCCCAAAGGCATTGGGCTCACAGATAAGGATTTAAACAAAGAAAAAAAAGCAAAGTTGTTGTAAAAATCAATCTGGTGAATATAGATTCGGGACGGTTGCGAGAGATTTGACAGCAAATAAATGCACATACTGCCTGTAGAATGAACAAGGAATCCGAATAGGAAAGAAAGTGAACAAGGAATCCGAATAAAAAAGAGATTTTTTGACAATTTGAATACTTCCTCTCAAATTGTAACCGAAAGGCATCACGCTCACGAGTATAGATTGATATAAATGGCAGTAGTTATAAAGCTATTTTTTTGTTTTGTTTTGTTTTGTTTCGTTTAAACATGTCATTTCTTTAATCCCTTTCAATGTATTTAATACCGTTTTTCTTTTCCTTCCTCCTTTAGGCGAACGAGTTTTTCTTTTTTGCCGGCCTACTTGCCTTGGTAATGCTAGTGTTTATGGTGATGTCTTATTTTTACAAATATGTATACTACTCTGTTAATGGCGAAACAAGCGACAGCAGTCCCCGTAAAGAAGAAACAAAAGACGAAGAAGATGATAAAGAGAAAGGAACCCAGTAAAGAAGAATATTTCTTCTTATTACCCTGTAGTTCGCAATAGGGACCTTAAACAATCCAGACGACAACGCTAAGAAATAAGCCAATTAAAAAATGCATTTATATTTTTGTTAAGAATTTCACGAATGGGTGGATGTAATTACCATCTCTAAAGGCGCCAGACCTCATCTTCAGCACAAGTTATGCGAGCAGCATTGAGTTCCAAATGGAAACTTAAATTGGGGATTTCACGTTGTTGTTTGTGGACACTGTGCTGATAGTAAGTACGAAGTTTAAAAACGCACGTGCTGAGCTATTGTTCTGCCCATTCGATCTATTGTTTTTCTGCGTTGTAGTTACCGTCGTCGTCGTGGTTTGTTCAAGGTCCCTTAATAACTGTTACTTGAGTTTTCGAACTGGTTAATTTAATTTGATATTCTGTTGTGTATAACAGGTGCTTAGATACACGTGCGAGTTTATTTGGCACCTCTTTTCCGTCCTTTTCCCGGATGTCTAAATGCAGCTGCGCTTTCCTCTGCGCCACTAATTTTAAAGTAACTATTTTAAAAGTGGAAACCGTTCCTCAAAGTTTCAGAGAAATTTGGTTTTGTTACCGATTCGAATGTTTAATTATCCTCTTAGAGGGTCGCAACTGGAGAAATCTTTGACCTTTGATGGCTAGTTTTTACACCGTTTTGACCATTGACGGTTAAACTTTAGGGCCTTTTACGGGTTGACAATTAGATATCGATCTAAATTAGAACCAATATGGATTTTTTTTATTTTTGGATATGAATTATAATTTATAATGAGATCTATTCAGTCTTCCTCTGTCGAAGTAAAGTGAAGCATAGTTGCAAGACCTCTCACAGTAGATAATGATTAGTTTCAAACAACCCCTTCGTTCCTGGTATTAAAGGTGCAAACAGCGTTAGCAGAAATTGCAGACCTCATTCTTCGGGCCCTGAGCATATTACGTTCAGAGCGCCAACAAAATTAGATCCACGTCGTGTACCGAACGTGACTACATACGCTCGCTTTGTACTTCCTTGCCTAACTATGGAAATAAATAGATAAAACTACGAAAAGATTGTTATTTCTTCGAATTAGCACAAGCACGATTCCCTTTTTATATTGTTGGTGATTAGTCTTTGAGAACATGTCTTACCGTTAAAGTCGCCCTCTCAGCCTCTCCGCGCAACAGGTCACTTAGCGCCAAGTCGAGTAGTTTTTGGGTCGCAATACGGCAATTGCCAGTTTTTCGCATTCAGTGATTTCACCAACCGTTATAGCTTGAGCCCAAATGAACCGAGCCCAAATTTGGCGATTAAGTTGTTGATCTCGAGGAAATCGGGGGGTTTTCTCCGCCGAAAGAAGATCTTGTCGTGTAACCCTCGATAGCTTTTACACTTCGCTTCACAGTCAAGGCTAGCGACGGCCCTCATCATGCTTCAAGTATCTTGAACTTGGTAGTAACTGAGTTTTTTTTCACAGTTTCCATTGAACCATCCCATTTGTCAATACAATTTCTTACGTTTCGAGTGGCTGAATCTATTTTTGGAAATTTTGCATGGTAACCTTTGAACAAGTTGACTCTTAGCAAAAAGATTGCGTGCCCCAAGCTCACATGGAAAACGTGACATGAAAACATGAGAGATTTTTTTTTTATGGTTATTTATGCTTTTAAAGAAAAGGAGATGACAGTGAAAACCTTCTAGGAAATTATAATTTCATGCCAATTCGTCAATGAGAAATAATTTTATTTGCCATTTCAACTGCCATCTGAAGAGAAGTTAGAAGAATCTTTGTCTGCAGAAATATATGCTCTTGGACGAGAGGGAACCGATGGGAGAGCGGGAAAAGTGCCCCGTGACTAGCCTGGACCATTTTTAACTCGTGCAAACGAGTTTTTATTCAACAATATTCACTTCGCCTCCGGCGAATAATTGTTAAGGCTACTTCCCACCCTCGGAGGCCGAAAATATCGATTTTTCTTTAATTTGACAAAACTGGATTCAAACACATAGCCTAACGTTTCCATAAAAAAATTTCTGAAATCTTTAAAAGCACCCGAGTTGGAAAAACCTTTGCTCGTGGAAAAATCAAAAGCGGGGGAAATTCCTTGGTAAAAAAAAAAAAAAACAGGCCCAAAGAAGAAAGAAAGAGTACCATTTGTTTCTTAAGTTAATGCTGAAGACATTTCCTCTAGCATTATGGTAAATTAGAAAAATAACGGACAAAGCTTTTTGTGTTGCTATTTTACCGTCGCGGGGTATTTTTTGTTCTTTTCATATTTTTTTTCAGAAACCTTCATCTAAAATCATTGTAAATAAAATCTTGATGGGAGTTTGAGTGAGCGTTTACCCCTGAGGGGTTTTAAGCCATCTTTTTATGAAAGCATATTCATTGCTAGATATTTTGAAGGTAATATTGTCGAAATAGCGTTATTTTCTACATACTGAGAAAGGTTGAGCCTTCAATCAAGGTTGATACTGCTCTCTTCTTCGGCGAAAGAACAATTCGAAGGATATGCATTTGTTCTTGAGTTAATGCTGAAGATATTTCTTCTAACATGAAGTGGGTTTGTCGCTGATAGCAAAAGATTTAGTAAACCTGCGTCATCCTCTTCAAGTAGAAGCGTAAAACTTTGGCAGAGATTTTCACTGTAGATTGTAAGCTCGAAATTTCTATCGCGTCACAGTTGATGAGGGCGAAGCCCAAATGAACTAACACGCATAAAAATCGAGAGAAAATAATCTAGGTCTTCAATTGAAAATCTTCTAGCCTTTCAATACTCAACAACAAGACAGGCTGATGCTTTTTATTTTACTTTGTTCACACCTGCACACTGTTACGCTACTCACTTAACTCGCTATCTGTTACGGAATAGATGAGTATAGCGTGCCCAATCAGACTGCAGCAGTTTTGATAAAACGCTGATAGCTAGGATAGAAACAACTCTGCTTCCTGGATATGTAAAGAGAGTCTGTTTCTGCTTCTATTTACTTAGTTTTGTCTACAAAGCAAAGAATAGTTTCCCTTTTAACTCCCAAATATGACCTCCGACGAACTTTTCGGAACATTATCCAGCAGATTAGTGATGGGAGCTGAAAACCTATCACCTCGAGGGTGTTAAAGCGATATAAAAACCAACTTCTCTTTCATGCAAACGTTTCACAGCAAGAAGGGAGAATAATTTATCCGATCCGAGAGTTAAAGGACGAACGACGATTAGGAATCATAATTTCATTTCCGAGTTCTTCCATAACCTCTCTTCCACTTATGAGATCTGCGACTGATACGTCTTCCGTTTGATTTGTAATCACTTGTTATCATAATGCCATGTTCTTAACAAAACGCTTCCGTGACAGTATATCACCATTACTTCTAAGGAAAGTGATGTTACATCAACGCAAATTAATATTTGGAGACGGGTTAAACTCATAATTTCCTTTCTCCTTTAAAATGAGCGAAAACGCCTCTGGATCATAAATTGTGACCTAGGCTACTGACGCCACTACACGTGTTCATTCTGTTTGGCGGAAGTTGGTGAATGACAGTGTAGGACATGACGTCTAATGAAACAGAATAATGCGACATTATGTATTTTTTTAAGTAAATAATCGTCTAAGGAATTTATTACCGCTGATTGATTTATTACAGCTCATTTCAGCTCGTCCAGACAGCCAATGATAAGAGCATGTATAAATGTCGGTCACGATCACCTGTTTAATAAAACAGCAGCCACGGATATTCGAATTTGGGAACCACTTTCCGGCTTTCCGTGAAAATTAAGAATGACATCTACAAAGCCACCTCAGGAACGTGTCGACCAGAAATTCAACTTACAATTTGGATTACAGATCATAATAATGATTATATTTCTTCAGGCTCGGTCAAGTGAAGGAGTTTCACCGAAAGAGGCGTCACGGTTGAGTAAGTGGATAGCAGTTTATGTACAGAACAAAATGGTTTTCCATTTTCGGTTGCAACGGAGTTATGACTCGTTTATTGCTGCCGTGAACAGAAGACTTTACACTACCTTGCATATGTATATGATAGTTCAATTTTAATCAGCAGGGTAGCGAATGCTTACTTAAAATGATATTAAAAAAGTAAGAAAATTTTGTCAAGAAATGTTTTTGGAGCGTAAATCCATGGCTATTTTTAAGCATTTATGACTGATTACCTGTGAATTACAAAGGTACCTAAAAAAAACTGATCGTGATCTCCATATGAATTCATGATTGCTTTTCTTTCTTTGCGGCAGAAAGCTGCTTAAAAACCTGAATACACAATTATTATTCAACTGCATCCTTTTTTTTTTTAATTTTCAGCTAAGAATAACAAATACCCTCTCCTACAAAGTAAATCTACTTCTAGCGTTCTCATAATTACAAAGATTAATTTTTCCTCCTTTTTGGCCAAAACCAATCTTTAATTTTCAGATCAAATCTCAATCCAATCAGTCGAAACTTAGAGAGTTACACTTTAAAACTTTATCGCACGAAAAAGAAAACACATCTTCCTAACTTTGAAAAAGCATACTAATTAAGGTAAAAGCTGTCAACCTCCTGCAGGTCCTAATGTTGAAGAATCAGTCAACTTTTGTTTACATTGGCAATATTCACAGCAATGAAATTTCACTAAACGTAAAAGTCACGGGGATTACATGAAATATGAAAAGTATTCCCCAACAAGGAAGCCATCCATTAAAAGAAAAATGAAAATGTACAAGATCTAACGCTTAACACAGATGATACCAATCGCGTCGTCATGGAAAAAAGGCTAAAAGCAAAAAAATGGGAAATGATAACATTACGCAAACAAAAAACCTTCATGTGATCATGTTACGTACTTCAACAAAAACTCAAAAATCCATTTTTTTTTCTAAAATTGTTGATTTGAGTTGATCTACGAACAACCCCCTTCCCTTATTTGGAATTTGAATGAACGGTCATATCGACTGTAAAGGGATATGATGCATGTAATTAGATTTGCTAAATAAATTTCTTTTCGGCTTTTTTTCATTTTTTCCTGTTTGCTTTAACCTTAATTACAAACCCTTCATCTCGACTGTTACAACATCATCTATCTCAGAATAGTCGTCCCTAAGGTTGAAATCATTCAGATATTATAGTTTTGTGTTTTAAATATCCAGACGCTGGCTGTTATAGGTTGCTGCCACACTCGTAAAATAATAAAACTTTAAAGAATCAATTTTAATTAACATAAATTGACTTTAATAAACGTTTAAAGATTTTCATTAGAACCCTCTGGCCAAAAAAAAAGAGTTGCGCTGGCTAGTTTCTTAATTGTGATCAACTTTTTGGCGTTCTAGCAACCTCGAGCGCTTTTTGCCTTTTTGTGCGATTTTTTGGCAACTTTTAGGTTTGATTAGAGCACAAATCAACCTCGATAATGTCAATGATTTCATAAAGAAACTTAAATTTATGAAAATCTCTTGAATGTTTCGCAGGCCCATAATCTAATCAGTTAGGGCGGATAATCGGCTTTACGACGCACAAAAATGGATGTCTTTTTTTATTATTTTCAAAATAATGAACAGAAATGGATGGTTAGAAGCTGCCTTTGTTTGCTAGCAACTCTTTAAAGTTAAGTTATCATTCCGAAGAACGAAAGGTATAGCTTTTAGTAAACGTTTATATAGAAATATCAAGAAATTTAGGAGGCAACTTTTGAAATTTAGGAGGCAACTTTTTGGATTACTGGTTATTGTTCAACAACTTTTTGGCATTCCTGTGTGCAATTTTCAAGCATTATACGAGTACAGTCGGGACAGACCTATTTCTTGGACCCCTCTCTCCCTCCTACCTTGATGACAAGTTGACCACCTTGAGTTTTAAATTATTTAAAATTACAAGCACGCACGAGATTATTCGGGAAGTCTAAATCAGTGTATCCGTTTAAACGTGTAAAATGAAAGACTTAAGAGCAAAACCATTTTCTATTTAAATCCCTGGTTTTTTTTTTGTTTGTTTTATTAGATGGATCCATAGTGGACCACTTTGAACGCGTTGGCTGCTTCAAGGATAAGGAACCAAAACGCGCTTTGCCCGAAAGACTG